ATAGAACATGAACGTATTACCTTTATATTCCAACCAATAGCAAGGACTCTTATAAAACAGGAACTATGACGTCTTAAGCAAGCCAAATAATTTGGACTTAATATTCGTAAATGCAAATAGACTAACTATTCATCTCTTGCAAAATGCTTCAAAATAACAATAAAAATGTCTACGGGACATATTTTTTTATAAAACTTGATCAGAAATAGTGGTGTTCTTGTTTTTATCGTAACTGACCAATGAGAAACAGCTTTATATTCATAAGAATGACGTATCTTCTAGTAGAGTTCTAAGTATGATTTTGTAAAAATAAGACGACCAAAAAGTAACTGTCAGTAGTAATTATGTATTTTCTATGGGAGTATAACCTAAAAAATTCATCAAATTTAATCAGTTGTTTAAAGATTTTTGAGAATTTTTTTGTGAGACAAACAGGGATTATAAATCAAGCTTTGTGATTGGATAGTTGATTTTCACCAATAGAAATATTTGTTGTATCGATTTAATGACGATTATGACGTCACGGTTGCTTCGATAATATTTAGTGTTCGTAGCAACGAGAAGAGGCCATCTTGGAAACAATGATTTGTTGATGGAAGAAATCGTCTGATTTTCTTCGAAATTTCCTTTCTGAAAGCCCAATATAGCTCTCGAACTCAACATCATGTCGGAAACTTTAGCCGAGACTCGCCTTCAGCTTCAAAATGCCGAAAGTTCTATTTTATTTATGCAACAAGAACACGCACAAACCTTGCGAGGCCTTTATTCGGAGATCAGCAAACTCCAGAAAAAGTGTGGAGGTTGGTCTATATTCGCGTTATACTTTAACAAATGTACCTCACAGCTTTCTATGATTGTATTTTCTTACTTCTTTTTATTTCGATTTTTAGAGATGACTTTTAAGTTGGCGATGAACGATACAAGTTCGACAGATGAAGGTTAGTTCTGCCAGATTTTTCTCATCGAACGACAAAACATTTTAAAGGATTAATGCCAAACAATTGAAAGATAACTTCGGAAGAAATAGAGATATAGAATCTTTAAAAATAAGGGGTTTTTTTAGTGATAGAGAAAGTTAAAAAGATAGCAAACAAAATCTATAGGCTCAATAGTATAAATTTATCCATCGCTGATAAGACAGCTGGTTCGTTTTTCAGTTGTGAGTCAGCTATTTTTTCCTAAAAATCCTATCATCAATCTTAGTAATGGTCGGTAAAAGATAAGCTTTATCATTATGTATGGCTTTTTAGATAAAATTATATTTCTTTCTCGAAATTGTAATCTAAGATTATTGCCTTTCTCGTACAAAAACAAAAATTACCTGTAAGATAAATTTGAGTGGGTGGTTGTATAATCAGATCTCACCCATTTTTTCAATGGCAAAAATATACTTTGGTATAAAAGATCAATACTTCATTGTATCAACTTTCATTTATATTTAATTGCTTTCGTTCCCTTTATTGCATTTTTAAAATTTATTATTTTTCAAACTCAAATTTTGTGAAAATCTATTTTATATCACAGTGGCATATATGGAAATTTATATTACTTTGGATTTGCAATGAATTTTTATACCACAATATTCACTGCCTCCCCACTCCCCTACACACACTCTTGCTTTCAAGAAAATTATAATAATTATTTCTTAATTTTCCTACAGCACAACTCCAAAAAGAGGACTCTGAAACAAAAGAAACATTAAAATTGCTAAGAGCAGAGAATGTAGACCTTAAAACTATTATTGATACTGGATACAAAAGAATTGTGCTGTTGGAGAACCAGGCCAAGGGATTCGAGCAAAAATACAACAGGGATATGAAGGAACGAGACTCTAGGATTGCATATCTTACTAAAGAACTTAATACTAAGTCTGATACTATAGCTTATCTTACAAACCAGTTACATCAGATGAAGTTAAAAGAGGCTTCAAAGAAACAGGATCAAGCATCTCGGGGAAGTCAACGACATCAGAGAAAAGTAGAAAGTACCAGTGTAGGAGAAGCGTCATCATCTCATGACACAGCTTTGAGTAATCTTGAGGCTGCACCACCAACACCTCCGATTACTCCTTCGCCTCCTTCACAAGGTGCCCCAACACGGGTCCGTAGACCTTTTAGAAGATCAGCAACAACTCCAACACCCACAGACTTGAATATACAAAAGTCCAAATCTCAAAGAGCTATTGGTATTCAGGCTTCACCTCATGAAATACGTCTAAATGTATCATCGGCAAAAACAAATAAAGGACTACCTTCTCGACCAAAACGAGGTGTTTCTCCTTCCAGACCTGGGATAGGCATCGCAAAGAATCCTTCAAGATCTGGTGGTAAAGAGAGACCCCCAGCTGATGAATATGTGGAATTCCTGAGAACTGGAGTGCGCCCTGATCCACAAGTTGTCGTTCGAGCTGCTCCAGAGCCCCTCCCACCTATCTCAGCCACAGATATGCACCTTAAAAGAACACCAAGTTATAACGGCATATCAAGAGGGTCAACCAAAAAAGTTCAAGATGATGTTGGAAAGATTGTTGTTCCACCTCTCGGCTCACCTGAAAAAGGCTGGCGACATAAAGAACAGTCACCCCAATCCAACAGCTCAAAGATGTAACAGACTTCAAAATATTATGCTTAGATTTATTTTGTACATTAATATATTTATTTCTCTGTGTACAGGATGTTTTCTGCTTATAACAAAAATTTAATGTAAATAGGACTACTATATCTACTGGGTGTAATTTTGGTCAAGTTTTCAAAACTTTAAAAATTCTATACATTTTTGCACAAACTAAAAATGTTAGTGTCTTTTTCTTTAAAAAAAAACTAAAACTAGATATCTACCGGTAATTGATATTGTCTATTGATCATATAAACTTTCATTGTCCTAAAACCATAGGTCTGTTTCAGGCTTTATAAAAAATAGTTTTACTTTGACAATCAGTAGTGAGTTTGTATATTAACAGTGAATAGTACATATTATGTTATTAAAATCATTCTTTGAATTACGATTTGCATATCTCTTTGAACTCTTTTCAATTATTTGGATTAAAATAATATCAAATCAGTTTCAGTTACCTCTTCTCCTTACTTCTGCACATTTTTTTTATCACTCCCTTCCCCTCAGCGTTCAAGGGATAAGCTATGTAGATTGATAGATAGATACTATCATTATTATATGCACCCTTGAAAGTATTGTGGATGCGAGGCTAACATGTAAAATACAAAAGAAATCACACTTTCTTGATGGAATCTGTGGCATTTCTTTTATACTTCCATGTTAGCCTTACATTTGAGACAATTTTAAGAAGGGTTCATTATAGACCCAATTTATAGTTGAGGGGTGGGGTTAYGCAGTACCCATCACTGGATTGAAGGAAATGCTGGATTTTGTCTTCAAATATCTCCCAAAGAATTAGCCTGCATGCAGAGAAGAAAAGTCCTGCTGCACGCAAGATACCAAAGAATAAACGAATAGGCAAATCACAGAAATTGATCACTGTCACTGCAAGTGTTTAAACAAGGTATTTCTCAAAAATAATCGAGTACACAGCCAAGCAGTTTTGGAAAAAATCTTGTTGCAGGAGGTGGTTTACCAATAACATTGGGTTCCTATTGGGTTCTTCAATAAGATTTATTTTATTTTATTGCTATTGGTTTTAAAAAAAAAAAATTGTTGGGGAAAATTTAAGATTCGAAATTCAATACTTTTTGGATTGGGGTACCTGTGGTAATCTGAGCAACATAAATAAACACTCGCTGCCATAGCAACTCCACAAGGGATTACAAAATGGCGCCGTGTCAGAATTTGATCTTGGCGAAGAAAAAAGGCGCAAAATAACTCAAACAATTCTATTTATTCGTCTAATTTATCTAACCTGTAAATAAAACTTAAACATGGACGATCCGAGGATAGAATGGATGCGAAATAAGGTGTATTTAGGAGTGGGGATCACAGATCCAGAAGTGTTTGAAGATCTACTCGCAAGAGACGAGGGCAAAAGTGAGAGCGAGATGCTTAAATTTCTCAACGAAGATCCTAAGGAAGGATGCTGTTTGCTCTTTTATTCAATGCTACGGGAAGAAGAAGAGGAAATCGAGGTGGAAGCAGGTTAGTTTGGTTGGTATTTGTCCGCCAAAAACGATCAGCGATGTTCAATTTACAAGCTTTGCTAAGCAAAGGGAAGCCTTGAATTATTAGCTAAAGCCTAAACCTCACAAAAAATATTAATTCACACAAAAAAATTCACAGTGGATCTTATACGAGTTAATTCGTGTTTCATGATGCGATCCAATCTAATTCAAATTAGAAAAGCAATTTATAAATTAGGTTGCAAAGCTGTTTATAAATATGTCCAACTATTAAATATGGACCGTTAATTGAGCTAAAAAATATACTAGAATCTTTATAATTATCAAGATTCTGAACTTAATCGTGATTTGCGTTTCTTAACTGCAGAGCCAGAAATGCCTGAGCTAATGGACAATAACAATGAAGCTGACAAGACTTCTGATGGTGAGAGTGCTGAGGGCAACGATCTCGCTATGGAGAGGGTATCTACTGCCGAGGGGGGTGCCAGTAATGCTGAAGGACCCAAGCCAGAAGATGGAATTGTGGCTGAAGGCGGTCAGACTAACTCAGAGGGTGGAGAGATGGCCATGGTTCCTGTTGATGGAGTTGCTGAGGAAGAAGGAGGGGAGCAACCAGTAACACCAAAACCCCCAGCTACTGTAAGCTTTGCATGCACTTAGAGATTTCACATACATGTATTAATCCTTTTGTGGCTAGAATCATTTTGACTAATGCTTCTCATATTACAAGGAGGAGTATATGGCCCATATTTATGAACTCCATTTTTTAAGGGTTTCATGGAAACAAATTTCTGGCCACATTTTCTGAGGTGAAGTTTACCACTGTCGGCTCAGGTATATGAATGTGTGCCAAGCTAATTTGAGGGTAAACTGGCAAAAGACTGTGGTGAGCATGCTTCCAAGGCCTAGTAACAGATGTGAGGGAAGGGTAGGTGGGGTGAGAAACTTCCTATTTTTGCTTCGTGCTACAGAAAAGGAACAAGGCTAATGATAGTCCCTGATCTTAAACTAACTAATTCCTTTATGTTTTCTGATTGTAGAAAATTATTATCCAAAAAGTTGTAAGGACAGTGTTGTTCATGAGCTACGAGCATCTGCCAGAAGACTTTGTAGATGGAAGTGCCTTCTACTTTGTGCGCAACACCAAAGGACCAGTTCCTCTGCCATCCAACATCTTTGAAGCTGAAGACATTTTACCACCTCTCTTTGATTTTGGCTCTCTCAATGACCAAAGCCTCCTAACGTTGGAACAGTTATTGACTCTCGTATATATGCCACTGCTATCCCATAATGGTGCTAATAGGTCAGAAGGCTCTGATGTAAATAGCTCTGATCAACGCCGTGGAAGCAACCAGACATCTGCCTCTGCACCTGAGGGTGATCCTGATGCAACAGAGGATTCCCGTAGCAAGACTCAGTTACGTGATGAGTTTCTGATGAACATGCAGAAGTTTGCGACTCACATTAACAGAACAATCCATCAGTTGGAAGGAGACATACGACTAGAAATGCCAGATCTTGTTCTTGGTGAGGACATAGCAGAGATGGCCAAAGATTCGGCTCTTGTTGTCTCCTTAGAAGAAACACTCCATATCTGGGAGGTCACTATTTCGTCTGCACTGGAACAACAGCTCAAGAAAACACCACAAGGTAATGGCCCTTTAGCAGAAATTGACTTCTGGAGGGAACGCAATGCTACTCTTAGTGCAATCGCTGAGCAACTAAAGCTTCCAACGGTCAAAAAAGTTGTAGCGGTCCTAGCAAAATGTAACTCTGAGAGCTTGTCGGGGTTTGAGTACCACAGGGCTGAACTCAACAAGTACTACACAGAGGCCAAAGACAATGTTCGTTTCTTGTCAACACTCGAGAGGCACTTCAAGAACCTTGCTCATGGGGCTAACTTCAATATCGTGCTAGAGACTATTCCATCTATGATGAATGCACTTAGAATGGTCTGGATTATTTCACGACATTATAATAGGGATGAGAGGATGGTGCCTTTGATGGAGAGAATTGCTTGGGAACTAAGTGAAAGAGTGTCTAAAACAGTCAACATCAGAACTATTCTAAAGTAAGTCTTGTTAGTGTAAGATAAAAATATTTTGGGATTTGGAATGCATTTTATTTTAATGCTTTTGTTTACTCCTTAAATTTTGTTTGTTTACTCCTTAACAAATTGATAATGTATTTGTGATAAACCAATCAGCACATTAGCCACTTAAGTGTGATAACAAAAAAAGTATTTACAATATCACTGATTTAAAAGTTGCTGGTACTCCTTATCAAGTAAAATCGCATGATTATAGAATACCCCGCAAATGTACCTTTAAATGCACCTTTTGTGTCAATTTGTTCTTGTATGTGAACTCCAAAACATTCCCAAAAAGTTTACTTCGATGTCTCTTCGTTTCCACCATGCATTGGCTTATTCTCTTGCAGCTCTTGCATGCCAATAACTCTTCTCCTCCTCATTTTCTTGCGTTTATATTGTCGCGTCTACCTATCTTTCAGAGAGCCTCCAAACGTCGTAAAGCAAAAGACATCAGAAGCAACAAAGACTCTTCTCACGTGGAAAGAATCGTACTTCGATGTTCGCGCCAAAATCGAAGCCTCTGGTCGTGATGCGCGATGGGAATTTGACCGCAAGCGACTTTTCGAGCGCACCGACTACATGGCGTCCATTTGTGAGGACCTACAAGAAGTCGCGCAGGTCATGGAAGAATTTTATAATATTTTTGGACCGGAGTTGAAGGCCGTGACTGGCGACCCGAAGCGAATTGAAGATGTTTTGAAGAGGGTTGATGGATTAGTTCAACCTATTGAAAACGTAAGTTTGACATATGATACGGACACTGACTTTGTCAGTCTCTTGAGTATTATATCTTGAATGGTAACACTTGAGACTTCATGCGCTGATTCCTAATTTGGGGGTCAAAACAAAAGAGTTTCCTTGGGGATTAAAATTTTGGTGTTGATATTTTTTAAATTGTTTCGGAGATTCTTTTTGGGCTCTTGGTTTTCCTCCCTCCTTAATAATGGAACGAGGGTCACAGGTGTGCTAGCCACTGTTATTATTTTATTTTATTTATTTATTATTTTTTACAACCACTACTCCCCATGCGGGGTTCTTCCGTGAGGTTCCCTCCACATGCACTACCACTACATTCTATATTTACGACACACAACACTCAACTCACATGTTGATTTTTACGGAGGGAGGAAACCGGAGATCCCGGAGAAAACCATCATGGCAAGGGAGAGAAAAAGAAAATAATGATAATAAATAAATAAATAAATAAAAATAACAATAAAATTGTTTCTTACTTAGAGCGATGTTTCCTCATTTATTCTAGTATTTAATGAATTTTCCAGGTCGCCTTTGATCCATTTAGCCTACGCCATACGGCTAACTGGCGTAACGTCATGGAATGGTTCCATCGCGAAGTGAACGCTATCGAGAACGAAGCTAAACACTTTATCGATGACTCGTTCAAGACGCTGCGTTCAGCTGAGGGAGCTTTTGACATGCTGCTTAACTTCAGACATATCAGATCCAGAGAAGCTATAAACTCACAGATGATGAAGAAGTTTAATGACATCTTGCTGCAGTTTGGGAAAGAGGTATGTGCTGGGCATAAATTCAATGAAAACTAACGAATAAACTGCTTTGAGTTGCGTCGATGATATAAGTCACTTCAACACCGGTTATCGTATGAGTACGTTACTGATTTACAGCATGTCGACAGAAAGACATTCTGTAACATTGAAATGGCTTTCCATTGTCTTCTAATATTTTATCCAATCCGGTGACAGTTAGTTAACGACTACGCTAAGATACAGTACGGCTACGCTTAGATGCAGTACGGCTACGCTAAGATACGGTACGGCTACGCTAATATGCGGTACGGCTACGCTAAGATACGGTACGGCTACGCTAAGGTGCGGTACGGCTACGCTAAGATACGGTACGGCTACGCAAAGATACGGTACGGTTAGTTTGCCGTATCGTTTCCCACTCTAAGAAAACCGCTTTAAAAAAAGTACAATTAATTGACGGTTCGGACGTTTGTCCTATGTCGTTGTAGGTGAAGAAACTATCAACGTTTACTGTAAGTTCCAATCGTTTGGCCAACATTTTCTTGTATTTTTCTCCTAAAGGTGGACGCAATGTATTCGCTATTCAAATCCAATGCAGAGCACCCACCTGTCTACAAGAACCATCCTCCAGTTGCTGGAGCAATAGGATGGGAACGATCGTTATTCCATCGCATCAAACGTACCATCTTAAGATTCCAAGAGATGGAGGATATGTTGAATAGTGACCAAGGAAAAGCGGTAAGTATATCGTATCGTATGTTTATTTTGGTTGATCTGTAGGATGGAGACGACTATAAATGCAGTAGAAAACTGACATACAAACAAACAAGACAACAAGGAAGTAAACAAACCCCTGTAACGAAGAGAGATAAACGAATAAACAAACAAATAAGCGATTAAACAAGCAGACAATCAGGCAAGAAAAGCAAGCAAAATATGAAGCAAAATAAAGAAAATTTCTTTATAAAGCGTATTTTTCATTTTCTCTAGGCGAGCAAGAAGTATGTGAGTGTTGCTCGGCTGATGAAAGATTACGAAGACAAAAAATACAATGCTTGGAGAGAACAAGTAGAGGCAAATCTGTTGATCTACCTCAAGAAAAACCTGCTAACCAAACCATCGACTGGTTCAGCCACTACACACAGAAGCATGGCAGATGATGCTACAACATCTGAGGATACAGCAGAACATCATCATGGTTAGCAAAACGATTGGACGTTATTGTGATGATGTTGGTGGTGGTAATGATGATGATGATGATGATAATAGTGATGATAATGGCAATGCTGCTGCTGCTGMTGATGATGACGATGGTAATGGTGTTGGTGGTGATGATGATATTGGTGGTGGTGATGATGCTGGTGGAAATGATGATGATGGTGGTGGTGATCATGGTGGTAGTGATGGTGATGGTGATGATGGCGGTGGTGAAGATGACGGTGTTGGTGTTGATCATACTTATGATCATTACACTAACCTCCCCTCTCTAACTTGCCATTCCCTTGCGTATCACATGGTTTACCACTAACGTTGATATGATACAATGAATAGATCTAGATGTATCACATAGAGCCTTGCACTACTGTGGGATCCATTATGTTGATAACTTGTTTTTTTCTCTTACTCTATCAGCTCCACATCCCAACGTCCAGTATGTTGTAGACTTCTCCGCTGAGATGGGTGAGATCATTACAGAAACCAAGTATCTTGAACAGCTCGGATTCCAAGTTCCTGAGTTGGCAAGAAACGTTGCTTTGCAGGTCAGAGACTATAACTTAAATTAGTGTTTTATCCTCACTGCATACTCATTACCGAGCCACGAGAATTAAGATATGGAAGGTGACCGCGACTGCTGGCAATAAGCATGCGAAAAGAATGCGATGCGTCGTCAACCGCCACCAGGGGAGGTGGGTGGGGTGAATCTTCTACTCTCTCTTTAGGCAGCTTCCGACGGAATGATTCAAGGATCTGGGTGTGGCGCTTATATATGGAGATGTCGCAAAGCATTACACCCGCACTGCGCAAACTCCAATGTCCATAAATGGGGGTTGCTAAATTCCTACGTGACATGCTAATTATGTATGCAGTGAGAATAGTTTTTTAATGAAAGAAAGTATGTGTTTAGGAAACTACAGGCTTTTAATAAACTGTTTGAAGCAAAATGACTTGCAGTAGCTACGCCAACGACAAGACAGCAGGCAAGACAACCAAAAACATAATTTACACCGTGAGCAATGCCATCTGCAACAATAACAACAACTACGACGTATACAACTACTACTACTACAACAACTACTACTACAACAACAACAACAACTACTACTACAA